AATATAAGACATCCATAACCAGAAGACGGTTGTCTGTCATGGTTGGCTGAGCTTTGTTCAGATTTATGAACCACTTTAAATGGTCTAGTCTTATTCACTACCACCCACACTCTTTAATTTCTTCACCAGCTTCCTTCATACCTTTTATCTTGAAGTTATTACTCATTTTTTGTTAAAAAATTTAAAAAAGAAAAAAACGAAAAGACAAAGAGAAAATTGTTATAAAGTGATAAAATAAATGCTTAAAAAGCTTCAAAGATTTAATTGGATTTTATAACCCAAGATTTGAATTAAGCAAATTGTGTGTGTATGTATAGTGTAGAAGGTATTTATTGGGGTTAACAAAGCTCTGATTAACTTCACGTGTAGACTCATCCATGTGTCCGTGAGTCTTTACAAACAACTACTTCAACAAACACACATACACACACAGAGGAAGCCAGATCAGATCCATTGCATAATCTCTCTGATCCAACTCAAGAACCAGTTCCCATGGTGGGTTTTGATTCTTGCTTTGTTTCTTCTTCTACTGTTTTTGTGTTCTTGAAGATGAAAAGATGTGGACTTTTTCGGTCAAATCGGAAACCCTTCGATAATGACATATAATTTGGGGAGAATTTTGTTAAGGGCCCCTTTTTCTCTCTCTCTTTCTTTCTTTCTTCCCCAATCATTCATCCATTCATTACCACAAAAGGAAGAAAGAAATCGCTAGATTTTGAGCTGTTTCTCCCCTTATTCAAACCCCATTTTCGATTAATCTAAGCGAAAAAGGTAAGTGTCTTTTTGTATGTATGGATCTTTAATTGAAAAAACCCTTTTGGGATTTGCTTTCAAGGAGTTCAAATACGCACCCAGATGAGATGAGGCGAAATGGGGGTGTTTTCTTCGTTTGCTTAGTTTTTTTGTGCTTTGAATGTGGATTGAGTGATGATAGAGAAGCGCTTTTGGCGTTGAAATCATCGATTGATCCTTCGAATTCTCTTCAATGGAATGGAACCGATTTCTGCAAATGGGAAGGAGTTAGAGAATGCTTGAGAGGCAGAGTGTCGAAACTTGTTCTTGAAAATGTGAATTTGAGAGGCACATTGGATTCAAGGAGTCTTAATCAGTTGGATCAGATTCGTGTTTTGAGTCTTAAACAAAACTCCATTTCGGGTGAAATCCCAGAGCTTTCTGGATTGGCGAACCTCAAATCACTCTACCTTTCTTACAACAACTTCTCCGGCGAGTTCCCGGCGTCTCTCACCACCCTTCACCGCCTCAAAACCATTGTGCTCTCAGGTAATCGTCTTTCCGGCGACATTCCTGACTCGCTGCTCAATGTACAGAGACTGTATATTCTTTACTTGGATGACAATAGATTCACAGGAAAAATCCCACCTTTGAATCAGAGTGGGCTAAGATATTTGAATTTGTCAAGCAACCAGCTTTCCGGCGAAATCCCGGCGACTCCCGTCTTGGTTAGATTCAACTCGACGTCATTTACCGATAATGTTGATTTATGTGGCGATGCGTTTGGTATCCCATGCACTTTTGCTCCATCCCCGTCTTTTAGTCCGGCGAATCCGACCCCACCCAGCACAAGCAAATCGCACAATCGCCGGAAAATCAAGAAAATAGTTATAATAGCCGGTTCGGTTGGTGTGTTTTTGTTATTATGTGCTGTAATTGCATTGTTAGTTATCTGTTTGAAAAAGAAGCAAAAGAAGGTGCCGGAGGTGGGAGCAAAAGGAACTGAAGCAGTCTCGGCGGTGGGTGGTGCTGGCGGAGGCGCCGCGAGCAGTAGTGGGAAAAATGGGGGAAGTGGGTTGACACCAGAAGGCGAAGAAGGTGGTGGGATGGGGAAATTGGTGTTCTTTGGTGGTGGAGATATGCCGGAAATGAGTTATAGTTTGGAGGATCTGTTGAAAGCATCGGCGGAGACGCTGGGAAGAGGTACGGTGGGGAGCACGTACAAGGCGGTGATGGAGTCGGGGTTTATCGTGACGGTGAAACGGCTGAAAGACGCTAGGTATCCAAGGGTGGAGGAGTTTCGGAGACACGTGGACGTCATCGGAAGGCTGAGACATCAAAATTTGGTGCCTCTGAGGGCTTATTTCCAGGCTAAAGAAGAACGCCTTCTCGTATACGATTATTTCCCCAATGGCAGCCTTTTCTCTCTCATCCACGGTATATTCCTACGCCTAACATATTATTTAAAATTTAATTGAAGTTAATTTATCTTTAATTAACTCTTTATATTTAAAATGTAAATATAGAAAAAAAAGTCATTCCTAAAATAACAACCATTTTTTACTTATAACAGTTTACAAATGCCCCTGAAGGCCTGAAATGAACTTAATATGTGCAAAACTTTTAAATTAAAAATAAATTGTTTTTCCATAAAGATTAAATAAATTAAACTATTAATTACAATGTGATCATAATAAAAAAAAGCGTCAATATAAAATAGTTCCCGCTAGAAAAAAATAATATTTATTTTGATTTTGGTAATCGGAGAGTGACGAAAACTTTGAATTTTTAGGTAGGAAAGGTCGGGATCCATGTCCTAGTTTTTAACCAACCGACAACGTTATCTTTTTTATCTATTATTATTATTTTTGAATAAAAAGAAAATGAATAGGATAGATTTGACGACCGAAATTATTGCTAGCCGATTTTTCTAGTAACAATCAGTTTTGAATTTTGATTTTGCATGCGAAATTGTTCATTGTTATTGCAAAAATCATATTTCTTACTAAAAAAATAAAGTTTTTTTGTGGTGGGGATCTTAAAATTTTTGTGATCCTCTCTATCCTTACATTTAGCTGCCAGTTTCAGAAATTGGTCAATGTCTTCCACAAAAACAAAAGTACAAAGTACCATAATATTTCATAAAATGGTCCCTGTCTTTTACAAAAGGTAGAAATGGTCATCATAGTTCACAAAATTACATAAATGGTCCCTATATTTTACAAAAGTATAGAAAATGTCCCTGCATAGTAGTAAAGTTTCAAATTGTCCATGTGTTTTACAAAATTACATAAATGGTCCCTATATTACATAAACGGTCTCTGTTTAATAGAAAAATAACATAGTGGTCTTTATGCTTTATGAAATTATAGAAATGGTCTATGTCTGATACCAAATTTATAGAAATGTTCCTTGGGTTTCATAGAATTTACAGAAATGATCCCAATATAGGAAGACATACCTAATTTATAGAAATTGGGTTTCATAAAATTTAAAGAAATGATCCCAATATAGGAAGACGTTACATAAATGGTGTCGAAAATAGAGGAAGCATCCCAACATTTCCTTCATGTGGCAATTTTTGTGATGTTTTTTTCTAATTTTTTTGTATTTAATTGTTTTATTATATCATAATTTGATACTCAATCCAATTAGTGGTACTGGATTTTTCGTTTAAAAAAATGGGCGTGAATTAAAGTATATTGTAATTTTATGTAGAAAAATATATTAAATACAACCGCACCAAATTGGCCAGAAAACCGGACTGAAGTAAACCGGTTCAGTACCCGTTTGGTTTTGTAACTTTTTGTTTAGAATCACTAAGAGGGTGTTTGACTTAGCTTTTGTGGGGCAAAAGTCTTTTTTGTAAAAAGACTTTTTACAAAAGTTGTTTTTTAAAATGTGTTTGAATTAGCTTTTGAAGGGAAAAAATCAAAAATTAAAGTGTTTGGTTTAATTTTTACATGCAAAATGACTAAAAATGACATGTTTACATATTTATTGGGGGTAGATGGAGATATAAAAGTAATTTTAATGTTTAACACTGTTGAAAAGTTAGAAAAGTCATAATTTCTGACTTTTCAAAAAGACCAAATTTACTTTATTAGAAAAGTCATTTTCAAAAGTCATTCTCATCTTCCCAAACATCTTTTTTTAGAAAAAGTCAAAAGTCATTTAGAAGCTAAAACAAACACCCTCTAAAATCAATATATTTTATAATTATTTTACAGGATCAAGAACATCAGCCGGTGGAAAACCTCTTCATTGGACATCGTGCTTAAAGATCGCCGAGGACTTAGCCACCGGACTTCTTTACATCCACCAAAACCCCGGCCTCACCCATGGAAACCTCAAATCCTCCAACGTCCTTTTGGGCTCTGATTTCGAATCTTGCCTCACAGATTACGGTTTAATGTCATTCAGAAACCCTGATTTCCCTGAAGAATCAAGCGCCTCCTCTCTCTTCTACCGGGCCCCAGAATCCCGGGACCCACGAAAACCCATCACCCAACAAGCAGACGTCTACAGCTTCGGCGTCCTCCTGTTAGAACTTCTCACCGGAAAAACTCCATTTCAGGACCTTGTTTTGGAACACGGGTCAGACATCCCTAAATGGGTGAAATCCGTAAGAGAAGAAGAAACGGAATCCGGCGATGAACCCACTTCCTCCGGCAACGAGGCGGCAGAGGAGAAACTGGCGGCACTTCTAAATATCGCCATGGCTTGTGTCTCGATTGCGCCTGAGAATCGACCGGTGATGAAGGAGGTGTTGAGGATGATTAGGGAAACGAGAGCTGAAGCGGCTCATGTGTCGTCTAATAGCAGTGATCATTCACCAGGAAGATGGTCGGATACTGTTCAGAGCTTACCCAGAGATGAACATTTGAGCATATGATTCATTGGTTGTGTTTAAGGAGAGTTTTAATTGAATTTGATTCGTGAATTTGTGTAGGGGGTAAAGTTTTTCATTTTTATTATTATTATTGATTGGTAATGTAATTGTGTGATAATTTTAATGATACCGATGACTTCTCAAGAGTTAAGCAAAAAATGTAACTTTTAGGTTTGACTTGGAAAACAAATCTTTCAATGAGGAGAAGAAGCAAGCAATAAGCTAATCAATCATTTTAGCTTTTTCCAAAAATGGCATATTTCTACAAGTTTTGGTATCGTCGACTTGGACACAAAGATTCAATCGATACATCAGATATATATATATATATATATATATATATATATATATATATATATATATATATATATGAAATACACCCAGAACGGTCAATCTGTATATAATTTACAACAGGTTTAAATCTATACTTGCAACCAAATGCTTCTTCAGCTCAATAATCTGGTTCTTGCTTCATATGCATTCTGCTTGATGACCCAAACGTCATTGTCTGTCATCATCAAGGAGTAATATACATTTAGTCTATCATACGACATTAACAAACATTTGCTTCATATACTGTGTTTGAAATGGATTGGATAGGGACTGATGTAAATAAGACAAAATTTGCAAAAGTTGTCCCAAGATGAGGACTCACTTTGGATCTCTAGTTTGTGCAAATTGCAAAAGACGAGAATACCCCTAAAGGCATGAAAAGAGAGCTACCTGGCTTGTAGTAGGCAGAATAGTATTAGCAAGATCTTCATTTAGTGATACAGGCAGTGGTGGCCCTGGCATGTATCTCATGCTACAAAAAAAAAAATTAGAAAATAAACAAAATCCATCAAAATTTTGACTTGAAAAAGTAATATGTTTGACTCTTTAAAATCAAAATTGGAGTCTTATGATTTTGTGACTTACTCGTTTAAGATAGTAGTTATGTTGTTCTTGGCATGGCTAAAGAGGTCGACATTGTCCTGTAGCTGTCATTATTAGATGTTATATAATATAAAAACATTAGCTTGCAATAACAAGTTTGTTAAACATAACAAATTCAAAACTCAAAAACAGTACTTAGTACTTACCTTGAGTGCAGAAATATTAGCTGAAATCTGACCAAAAACTTGTTTGTTTTGTTCCAAAAGATGCCTTGTCGACAAGCTCATCGCTGAATAATTCAATCAAAGTAGAATCAAATCAATAATATCCTCAAGACCTTCAATTAATTTAACAACCTATCAGACTTATCAATACAATTTTGAATCTACAAATGATACCAACCTTCAAAAGGAATGCCACCACTCTGGAATCGGTTATTCATGGTAACTGAAAATGGAGCCACATTCAAAGTTGTAATTGATGATACACTTGGTTTTGATGATGATTCCATCAAATTATCCTGGAAAAACACGACAATTTAGAATGCTGGTTTATTTTATCAGTTGGATGGAATTGAATGATGAAGGAATGGAATAAGCATAGGTAATGGAATGAGCATTACATTCCATGATCATGTTTGTTTGGCCTATACGAATGGAATGAATTTTTTTATATTGTATGTTAATTAATTCTAGATGTATTCTACATAATATTTTAATTACAATCAACAGACTTTTATTTGCATACACATACCTTCTTATCTTTTAACTTCTTTCCCATCTTAAGTTCATCAAGTTTCCTTCGTTTTCTCTGCCAAATATCTCATCTTAGTAAGCTTCTAAACAAACAAGTTCAATATTTCATCAAATGCATCTCTTCAAGTTTCCACTCTTGGTTTGGTAAATTTTACTAAAAAACACGTCTTTTTTTTCCAAATGGTCTTACTTTTAATAAAGATTTCCATCTAACTTCTAAACACTTTATTGCACTTTAACGATCTCTAGTTATTGCTATTCCTCGTTCACATATATGTGTAAAGTAACACTTTTCAAAAAGAAGCACTTCTCTTGGGAACATGTTGCAATTTAACTTCTAAGTTCATGTAATGGATATATCATTTAACATGTTTATTTTTTTTTTTTAAAAAGGTCTGATTGTTAGGCAAATATCTAAAATATCCCTTCAATATTGACAAAATTGATGAATCTTATGGACCAAAATTAATGTTTATGAATACTTTGTGATGATTACTACTTACTAATGCTCCAGAGAAGTAAATCTTGAGTTTATTTTGGGAAATCACATAAATAAATTTCCCCTTGAATCTCAGCATATACCTCAATTATGATCCTTCATAATAGCCCTACAAATGTATTTTTATTATCCTTCTGACCTTCTTGATAATTATGATACTATGTTCTTATCTTAATTTTTTTTTTAAATGTTAACCAATATATGAAGAAAAATATAAATTAGAAGCTCACCGTCATCCACCTACACCTCAGGGCAACATCACGAACAGTTTTATCACGCAATGTAGCAGCAATCTTTATATACCTCATGATGCTCGGTTCATCACCATATCTACATATATATCCAACAAATCATAAGCATATAAATCAAGAAAATTAGTTAGATTAGAAATTAAACATGAATCTTTATAAACTTGGAACAAGATACTTACTTGGAAATTCCTTCCTCCAACTTATACTGTTCTTCAACAGACCACTCCACAGCCAAACCTGCATCATGCTTCAACCCTGGGATTGCAGTATCTGAAAGAGAAGAAGCACTAGAATTCCCAACTTTTGCGAATCCTGAACTGTTGTTTAACATACCAGAATTCCCAGAAAACATCATGTCTGGTGTAGTAGTAGTATTATTATTCATCCGATAGTAATCACCCATCATAAGCATCTCAGTTGTGCTGTTAATCGCACTTGTTTGGAATGATATGGCGTGTCGATTCAGAGCAGAGCTCAAAGCTTGTTCATGGTGAAAACCCGTATCCATGACTTGTGTGTCAGTACGCGATTACTACGCTCTGCTGCAAAAAGAATGTATTTATAGATGAATCTATGGATAAGAGTATTGATTCGGAAAGAGGGTGTTGAATTTATGTAGCGTTGAGTTTGCAAAGTGAGAGAATCTGGTAACTATTGTTTGTTACCCCAAAAGTTAAACCCTAGATTCCTCACACACAAATCGAAATTAGGCCTCCCATTGAAAATCACAAACACCAACCTTCAATTAATCCGAAACTCGTAAAACATCGAACGTAGAACCGCTAAATTAGTGCTGGAAATAGCTTTTTTACGAACCCCAAAAGAATAAAAAACAACATCCACGGAAAGAAACCTTCATATCCGAAATCTTCAAGTTACATCATTCATTCATCATCAAAATCCCATAAGGCGATACTGATAACGACGAGTAACGTAACCATGTACGCAGAGATTGATAAAGAGAGAAGGGCTTTCTAAATGTCTCAACTTTTGAAGAAGGGATGCTCTAATTGGCTGTTTGTGTTGCCTTTTACACGCATCACTCAGTCACGACGCAAACTGCTGCTACCTTCATTTGCTTTTGGGTGCTTAGAGCACAGAGACGATGCACTTTTGGTGTCTACTTAGTGGTGGAGGGTAAAATAACATGGGAAGAAGGGTTCTGGCCAATGGGAAAACAGAGGTGGGGGTGGAAGTTGAATGAAGTTTTTCTGTTTGAAGCTTTTTTAAGATTTTTTGGTCGCGCAGATCTTGGAGTTGAGCAAAAGTGCGAATCCCATTAAGCACTTATGCCACACTTGTCACAATTCCACCCAATGCCCAAGATGATGATAGGAGTACTATGGTTTCCATCAAATTTAATACTTTGTCTACTAAATTTCGGTTACTTTACAAAAATCTAATACTTAGTTTTATAAATTTTTTAACATATTATGTTTATGATTTATGAAAAGTAAAGAGTAATTACTTAAAGTTTATAACTTTGATGATGGTTCATAAGTCTCTTTATTTTGTGGATAATTTTAAGTAAACAATGGCATCCAAAGTTAGAAAGAATATAGTAAAAATGATAAATTGTATTATTGTTATCACATGCTAATAGAATTTGGTGAATATTGTGGACCACCAACAGCGAAGAGAGTATCTTTGATTCAAAACCAAAATTTTATTATATCAATTATTCAACTCTTAAATTTTCATAATATGACCATAAAATGAAAAGTTCTTTACTTTCCACAAAAATGTTAAACCAACAACATAGTGTTGATTTGTGTTTGATTGAGAGTCTAAATTAATGATCACATATATTTATAATAGTGGGATATATTTCCTTTGAGATTTCATTAACAGAGGAGAGTATAAATATACAATAAGATGAGCCAATCACAAAGAGGGCCGAGAATACAACACCAATACATAGAGGGCTAGACTAGGAGACAAGGTTATTGTTAGGAAAATATAACCCAAAAATGTGCGAAAGAACAAAAACCCAAAATTCTTAACTGAGGCCTGTGTTTAACATAGTTTCCTTAAAACAGATTCGTCCTATATGGGTGTTTGTTTCCCAGGATACAACAGTAGAAAGCAATTCTTCTGGATTGCCCGAACCCTCACTTGGCCCGGATGATACCTTGGTTGCAGCAGGAGAGAAAAGACGAAGCAGAAGCGTAAGAGAAAAAGAGAATGATTGCGTTGCATTCGGTGTGTTTAACCAGTCACATAAGGATTGTATATATACTACCCAATATAACCGATGTCACTAAAACGGAATCGTAACTGTCGTAATTAAATAAGAAAATTAATCAAAGAATCAAAACGGAAATCTATGATTAATAGCTCTTAATTCGTTTTTGTAACAGTTAACCAAAAAGAAAAAAAATGCAAAAAAGGTCCTTGAACTTTTCTGTTCGACCGGTGGTGCATTCGTGTCCGCAGGGCGCGCGCTCGCACACAAGTTCAGTGGCCCGAAGCCAATTCGGCTCGCATTTGCACCCCCCTGCGTGCGCGCGCAAGAGAGAGCCTTGGTTCTAATTAGTCTTACAAAGGTAGCTAGTCTTTGTAGTTATAAACCAATTTTCTTTTCCTTCTTCCACCAATGTGGGATGAGTTTTAAAAACCCACTTGACTCCTTTATCTTCTCTTCAATTGCCTTACTTTGACAAGTAATTTCTCATTCATTTTTAATCCATTTTGGACGTGTGATATATCGAAACGTAGATATCGCGGAGGAGAACACAAATATATAATCAATAACTGGTTTTGATTATATTTAGAGTATTAAATTTGTGCTCAAAATGGAGAAAATCCATTTTTGGAAATTAATAAAATTAATTTTCCAACAATCCCCCACATGAATGAAAATTGCTTCAGCATCCGCAATTCCAAGCTGCATTAGGTAAAATCCAGCAGTTGAATCATGCACAGGATAGGTAGGTATTACCCTTTGAACCTTCCCTTAAGATACATATTTATTTTACTAGCGGACCAGTAGACTCGATGTCCTTGAACTGTTCTGCCATTTGTGTAAATAATCAATACATGTCTCACATGATTCTCCCTGGCCTAGTTAGGTTCTCATGGATGTGTCTGTTTTGGTCGTGGATACTTGCCTGGTTCTGTAAGAGCTCTTAGGAACTTGCCCAGTCAATTCCCTTTGAAGCGACCCCACTTCTCTCTCACATAGGTGATTATATCCTAATCATTAAAAGTTAAAGCTTGATGATTTCCAACTTATCACCAACTACTATAAGCTTAACCTGCATCACTGTTATTTATAGGAATGGGTTGGAGTTGACCCCCACAGTGATCCACATATGTTATATGCAAGTAGGTTGTCCCATTGAACCTAGATCTTGGGATCTCCAGTCAACTAGGTTGGGTTTTCCTTCGCAATAACTTATTCGTTCATGGGTTTTAATCCCATTCCTTTTAACGATTTTGCAACTAACTCCCTATTTAACCCTTTGGTTAGCGGATCTGCAATGTTATCCTTGGACCTTATGTAGTCAATTGAGATAACTCCTGTTGAGAGTAGTTATCGAATGGTGTTGTGTCTTCGACGGATGTGTCGAGACTTACTATTATACATAGCACTTTGCGCTCGTCCAATTGCCGAATGACTATCGCAATGGATTGAGATTGCAGAAACTGGTTTAGGCCAACCTGGTATATCTTCTAAAAATTGTCGTAGCCATTCAGCTTCTTCTCCACTTTTATCAAGTGCTATAAATTCAGATTCCATGGTGGATCTAGCTATAACTGTTTGTTTTGAAGATTTCCATGATATAGCTCCACCTCCAAGTGTGAACAAAAACCCGCTGGTTGACTTGGAGTCTTTAATGTCAGATATCCAATTTGCATCACTATACCCTTCTATGACCTCGGGATATCTTGTATAGTGCAACCCATAATTGCGAGTGTACCTTAAGTATTGTAATACTCTTTTAATACTCTTCCAGTGTTCAACACTTGGATTACTGGTATATCTACTTAGTCTACTTATTGCAAAAGCTAAGTCGGGTCTGGTACAACTCATAAGGTACATCAAACTACCAATGATTCTTGCATATTCGACTTGTGCAAGCCCTTCACCTCTATTTTTACTTAGATGATGACTTGTATCAATTGGTGTCCTAGCTACAGTAGTATCACCAGAGTTGAACTTCTCAAGAATTTTATCCACATAATGGGTTTGATTCAAAGTAAGCCCATTTTCAGTCCTTGTGATTTTCACACCAAGGATGACGTCTGCCAGACCCATATCTTTCATGTCGAATCTTGCCTTTAGCATGTTCTTTGTTGATTGAACCATTTTATCGTTGCTACCAACAATAAGCACATCAACATAAAGGCACAAGATAACATAACCCTCAGTTGTGTTTTTAACATAAACACACTTGTCACATTCATTAATCTTGTATCCATTTTCCAACATCACATGGTCAAACTTTTGATGCCATTGTTTTGGGGCTTGTTTCAACCCATATAATGACTTCACTAGTTTGCAAACCTTTGATTCTTTTTCCTGGGGCAACATACCCTTCTGGTTGTTCCATGTAGATTTCTTCTTCTAAATCCCCATTTAAAAAAGTTGTTTTAACATCCATTTGATGTACTTCAAGATTTCTTATAGAAGCGATTGCAAGTACCAATCTAATGGATGTAATACGTGTGACAGGAGAGTACGTATCGAAATAATCAAGGCCACTTTTCTGTCTATCGCCTTTAATTACTAGTCTTGCCTTGTACTTGTCAATGGTTCCATCCGCTTTCATTTTCTTCTTGAAAATCCATTTATAGCCTAGTGGTTTGCAACCTTGCGGTAAATCCACTAGCTCCCATGTATAGTTTTGCAAGATTGAATCCATTTCGCTTTTAATTGCCTCTTTCCATTGAGGTCCTTCTGAGGAGGTGACTGCCTATTTGAAAGTTTGAGGCTCTCTTTCAACCATGTAAGTGTAGAAATCATCTCCAAATGACTTCTCCACTCGTGCCCTTTTACTTCTACGGGGCTCTGTTTCTTCCTCTATTTCTTCTTCATAAGAGGATTCATTGTGCTCAATTAACTTTGATGCATTTGTCTCAACCTTATGAAGACATGGAAACACATTTTCAAAGAACGATGCATTTCTTGACTCCATTATTGTGCCTTTGTGAATTTCTGCAATTTTTGAGTCATGTACAAGAAATCGATACGCACTACTGTTTTGTGCATATCCAACAAATATGCAATCAACAGTCTTGGGTCCTATCTTAACCACCTTGGGTGCAGGTACCACGACCTTTGCAAGGCACCCCCACACTCGAAGGTATTTGTAGGATGGTTTTATACCTGACCATAACTCGTATGGTGTTTTAACCGATTTCTTTCGTGGGACCTTATTTAAAAGGTAGTTAGCTGAAAGTATAGTT